GAGATTAACTCGCTGTGAACTGCTGAGGGCTCATCCGACCGTAATATCCTGCACGATGCAGTGCTATCAATGTGCGGGCGTACTGTATTATACAAAATTGATGAGTCAAATAAATACTGCTCGAATTTATTTTCCCCCTTATTTCGTTTACTACACAGTCAACGCTTCATATCGTGCAGCATTCTCTGGGGGGGAGGAAAACCAAGGGACAGGTTCGAAAGAAAAGATAATTAAAACCCAAAGGGGTGCGGAGGAAGCCCGCTTTAAAAATTTCACCATGATGTATGACGCCATTGAGATAGTCCTGATCGACCTGTGATTGATAGCATCTTATCACAAAGCTTCAATGCCCGGACACGGGTGGCGTGTACTACTTCAACGATTTCCCATCGTGGTCTGCTCACACAGGCTCAACGCGGAAGAAGACTGTGCAATGAATGACCTGGATCTGATGGATGAAATCGGTAACCTCAAAACCGTCAACTGAAGAATACTCATGATTCCCAAGTTGATGAACCCTAAAAAATATGACCCAAAGTGATTGAGTGTGGAGCAGAAACACTGAATTATCAATTTACCGTATGCCGCAAGACATTTCACACACTAGTTCGTGGTTATGATGGAGACTAAATGAGGGTATCCAGCAATTCAATTTCTTTTCGAATGTATCTTTACTCCTGTTTATCTACCACGATCAAAAGTCACCGGATGGTGTGATAAAAGGACGGAATGGATCAAATCACAGAGAACCAAACGGAGGAATCCATTATCAGGAGAGTGTCAATACTAGGGACATTGCGGATAATCTAGCCGTGGTTATTAATTTTTTAAATACACATGAGCTGCACTAGCCCGTTGAAAAGTTTCCGAAGGACAGATTTGCTGATTCGAAATTTTCATGTAACCGTTTGCATATTATTATTCTTTTGTATGGAAATCGCTAAAGACGCCCCAGTTCGTGATCATTATTTGTGGATCACCACATAGTTTTCTCTAACTTGCTCCTGCTCTATACGCATTTCAAATCCAGTCATCCGAATTTTTTGAATAATCTCTCCCAAATAGTCTGTAGCTTTCTTTCTCAATAGTTTCATCTCACCTGCGACAAACTATGTAAACATTACGGTCGAAAATGTCTAGTAGATGGGCAATTTCTTCAGGTTAACCCAAGACCTTATAACCGAGAGACATAACTAGTCGCACTGTGACACAGTAAGCGTGATCAGATCAGTTTTCTTTTAAACTTACTACTGAACAGAAAAATTTCAGAAAACACGACGCTAATTAACACCGTCTATGTCGAAATTGAATTATAGCGGACGATCTACTTAGCTCGCCGTAAACATCGATTCGAACAAAATCCGAGAAGTTGATCAAGCGCAACAGGTTAGCATTGGAAACAAAGCATGATAATAATGATAATACTAATTTGAATAATAAATGTTTACCGCAAAATTGAGTGACCACAACGATTTTACTCACCGGATTGTGGTTCCAGATCGTTGGACGATTTCGGCGAGGGACTGACCAACGAGGGAGTACTGACTACAACACCGAGTAAGATTAAAGGTACGGGATAGAATATTATACCACTCTATAGACAACAATGATAAGCAGAAAAAATGTTTTGTGAATGGGAAGAATGAAAACGATTCGATTTCGTAATGTGATAACCANACGGAAAGATTAACCTGATAGTTTCCAAGCAAGACATGTTGATTAAAAATGTGTCAAATGAAAAAGGTCTATTATTTCCAATAACAATGTGCCAGGTCCAGATAAACCATTAAAACGGTAAATCATTCCGTGAAAATAATAATAATTATACTTCAAGGCACCGAGTGCGTCAGAGAGAACGGATACACTCACCAGATGCGTTTGAATTGGTCCCGTTTGCACGACGGTAGTAGTAACTACACAATACAATAATTTAATCAGTTAAGGAAGAGGAAAGACAAATAGAATAAGCCAAATCGACAATGAGAAAGACAGTACTGATGGTGGCTCATCATCATCATCATCATCATATTTATATATATATATATATATATATATATATATATACCCCCAGTAACAGCTTCCTTGTCGTCCGGCTTCATACCAAGCCTGTTCTTTTTGGATCATTTTTGAAACGCCACTCGAAGTCCCATGGCTTAGACTGCGAGCACCCGTAACCGAGTGGTAGGTCTTCGTTAGCTCTC